GGCAGTTGAAAGAGTTGATCTTGACAGAGGAAGGCAGAACTTGGAGTTCTTTCCACTGTTCCTGTGTTTTTGGAAAGTGGGTTTTGTGAAACTGTGAAAGCAACTACTTGGCACTAAGGGACATAAGAATGTCTCTTAAGTGCCAAGTGATGAGAATTGCCTGGCCAGGATGTTGTAGGTTCCACTTAGGCACAGGGTGAGGCAATGCTGCTCAGCATCGCAATGAGCTGTAAAAGAAATTTCAGGAGGCAGAGGGAGAGACAGCCAATCCAGCCAGAGTAGAAAGCAAGTGGGGAAGCTGGAAGAGTGCCAAGCTTTCCTAGCTGAATCAATTGCACAACCATTATAATGCCATGGCTTACCGAGTGATAAATTTACTGATGAGTTTAACAGGTGTGAAAATAGCAAAGGACTTTGACCATCCCTTGATGCTGTGGTTCTAAGCCTCAGGTATAAAGATTTATTCAGCAGCCATTTATTGTGTGATAAAGTGTCCCCAGGACTGGGGTAGGTAGAAGTGTCTGTCATTCATCTGGCCTGTGGGGAACTGTGTAGATAAGGAGATCCAGGGTTCAGAGTCACTCTTTGTCACTTAAAACAAGCACAGACCTCAAACTGAGAACATGGACTCAGTATCTGCCTTCACTGTGTGGAGATACAGGGTTGCCCTGCTTGAGCACTTGCCCCAGTAGCTGCCTGCAGACTGATAAATGCCTTCTTATCTGTGGGCTCACAGATAAATAACCTTGGGCCTCAAAACAAGATGTGTGGGATACAACTTCTCTGTAATAAGATGGTGGTTTGAGACAAGTAACACAACATAGACATCTTGTTTGAATGAGTACAGAGTAGTGAGTATAACATACCTGCATGAAGTTGGGGTAATTTGCACTGAAGCATGGAATAGCAAGAAAGGACTGAATGCAAGACTTGTCCTAGGATGGGACTGCTTCTGGTTTACTATCAGAAAAATCATTCTGAATCCTTATAATCCAGTTTCCATAGTGAAAGTAGGTTAAAAAGAGAGGTGATTCAAGATAGCAATTTAGAAAAAAAAAAAACAAAAAACAAAAAACAAAAACAAAAACAAAAAAAAAACCCAAAAAAAAACAAAAAAAAAAAACCCAAAAAACCAAACTTTTTTAGTTCAAGGACAAAATGAATTAAGTTAACGAAGAAGGTCATGCACATTTGAAAGATTCAAGACCCAGCAAATTTCCAGAAGTTCAGCTTTTCTTAAAGACATAACTCTTTCTTTGGAAAAGAACTTAAAAATTAACTTTAGGTCTTCAACAAATGAAAGGCAAATAAAAGGAGATTCTTTTATCAAGTCCATTATGTTTTTAACTTTAGAGTTAGTCTCATGCTATTATGGAGTCTGCCACAGTTTCCTGGAAAGCTTAAAATAATAGAGGTGTAATAAATGTCCTTGAACATTGTCTGAAAGTCTGATTGCATTTGACAAGAAACGTGCTACAATAACAGTAATTTCTACTGGCCTCAATTTTAACTTTTGGATGGCAAGTAGTTGGTCAAAACTACCCCATTTTCCTTTTTTTTTTTTTTTTTTGGTAATGAATCAAACAGATGGGAGAATTACTGGAATATCCTATTTGGAGGGGATGACAATTAGTTACATTAAAAACACATTTGCTTTGTGTATCCATGATCATCTGGGATGTAGTGTTCTGAATAATCCAAGCTGTAGAGTGGGAAGTATCTCTGCACAAGCCTAAATTCAGACATTCTGAAACTAGTCTCCAAAGCATCAACTTAGCCCCAAGAAAAGCTTAAAATTAAGAGTCCTTTTGTAAGGAGATTTGTATGGTTGTGTCTCCTTATGTAATGATGATGTGCTAATTTAATGTAATCTACTAAAGCCTATGCAGTTCTTGTGTCTAAGGTATAGGCCAGACAGGAGGAGCTTGCTTGAAATATGAGCATTAGTATGGTCCCAAGAGTCACATGAGAATCTTAAAAATAAAAGCTTTGCTCACCTTAGAATTTTCAAAGGAGAAGCCTTTTATAACGTAAATAGAGATAAGGCCATAAACTAGCAAATTTCTCTCCACTCTCTGACAGAAGTGGAACTGGTGTGCTTTGGCAGGCTTAATTTTTGTAAGTGTAAACCCAGTTCTCTGCAGAGCTACGAGGCCTCTGTGTACAGCACATGGAGGAACTGTTGAATGTGAAGCCTGACCAAGTCCCGAGACAACACGTTCATGGATTGTCTTCTTTATAGTCTTCTTCATTGAGAAGGAAGTCACTCCTGCATGTGGTGGAACACGTGGGGTGTTTGTGTCAGTGGACAGGTGGGTTTCCTCCCTGTAAGGATCTTATGCTTGTTTTGCTGCCTGTTGTGTCAAGTTTTCATGAGTTTGGTCACCAAGTAATCACCTGGCTGGTAGTTTTAGAATCAGATTTTAACAGCCCAGCTTCATTGCTTCTTTTTACATCAGACTTCTTCAGGTATCTGTCAAGTGTTCTATCAGACCAGATTGGGGGTTTAGTGCTGTTTCTGACAATGATGAATGCTGGCTGTTTTGCAGTCACAAAAAACTACCCAGGATGAGTTTATAATCCTAAGGCATGGACTTTCAGAGCTCTGAGAACACTTAATCCAAACTGCTAGTGTGGAAGATGTTTTTCTTATGCTGTTAGGACATGTCTCTAGGGCTTTAAAAAATTATGTCAATCTTTTTGCCTTCATCATATTCCCAGACTTTTTTGCTTTTTGTTACTTAGGAAGTGTGCTGAACAAAACTAAATGCAAGATATCCAAATAACACAATATTTGTCTTTTCTGCTGTCCTGAATTGTACTAGAGGCAGAGCAAAAGCCAGGGGTCTGCATTTGTTTTAAAATAATTGCTCCAGCAGGTAACAACCATCTAAAAACCCATTTATGGCTGAGTTGTCATCAGCAGTTCTTTGCAGTAAGTTTCTTCATACTTCACTTTTAAATTTAAGCTGTTATTATGGTGCTCAGTTATTTTTGTACTGTCCTCTAGATGCTCTCCTGTACTCTCCTTGTGTCCTAATAAATGCATAAATCACCTCTGTTTTAACAACTCAAAGTCTCATTGTTTCTGAAATGTGTGAAAGTGAGATAGAAGGTGAGTATCCTGTCCTAACAGACAATAAGGTCTCTGACTCCTGTCATGTCATTTTAGTTGTATCCTTTTGGTAGCCTTGGAGTCCTTTGTACTCAGAATACTTGCCCAGAAAATAGTGCACTGCTGGGGCACTCTGTCCTGGCTAACCTTCTGAAGATCTCACACATGAATAAAGTCATAAGTGATTTGTGCCATGATTCTTTGCTAGTATCTCTTTTTTGTAAGGGAAAATTCAGTTGATAAGGACTAGCTGGAAACAGGGTTCTGTCTGAGCCTTGTATTCAGGGTATGATCCTGCCAGTCTCCTGAACTCTGGTGAGGGAAATAGATCTGATTCCTTAATGGGACAGCTTAGAAGAATGCAATGAAAAAAATTCTCAATGAAAAACACAATGGTATTTTCCTCCCTCTTCCACTTCTCTCTAGGGAATGACTGAATAATCTCTTTTATTTAAGAGTTAAAAGAACCCCTAATGAATGTCTGTGTGTTGTTTCTGCTTCTTTAATCCCCACTTGGCTGCAGCTTCTTAAGATATGTATTGAATCAATATGAGCTGTTCCTCAAACAGCTGTTCCAATATTATGTTCCTGAAATCTGTTTAGTAGCATCATAAATCTGTCAGCACACAGAAGACAGCAATTTAAGTGTATTCTTGCATGCTGTTATGAGATAGCTTTCCACAAAAGTTTCCTTTGCTGCTTTCTTATTTTCAAAAATCTTCACAAAAAATATTCAAGATATTTACATATATTGTATTTGGGGACTGTTTTGTTTAGTTGATTTTTGTTCACACTTCTCAGGAATCCAGGACAGCTCTGTGACCACAACATGACAGCAGGGCTGTTCTTTCCTTATCTCTTAGTATTAATTTTTTTTTATAACTCCCAAGTTAATGCTCATTATTAATCTCTGGCTACTATATTTATCACTTTCAGCCATTTAGGCCTGACTCCTAATAAGAGATTATATGTTTTTGGTAGCTTTCCTGCTTCGTCCTAAAGGTTCTTCAAATCCCTGGAGGGACTATTAAATCCCATTCTCCCTCTACCAGACTTCCCTTCAGTTTATATGTCCTTTCCTTCGAGTTCTCTGAAACATTCCTGTCTCAGACAATGAGTGGAAAAGGAGAGAGAAGAGTCTGAAACACAAGCCACAATAGTCTGACACAGGAATGTGTGTTTGGAGAGGCTAGTCAGTCTTAGAGCATGGAGACTTTGGGCATGTGCTGTGCACAAAGAGACACCAGTGGCTCATAAAAGTCATGTTTGTCCCTGTGTGTGCGCAGCAGTGCTGTCTTCGTTGGCATTTGACCCCCTCCAGAGTAGTAGAAGATCCTTTTAACATGGAAGTTTGGTGTTTGGGAGGGCCTGCAAAGGGCCTTATTGGGGCAGTAACGCTGGTGCCCAGCTGTTGTTGGCAACTGCATCATGGTTCCTTTAATAAATGGAGGCAAGCCTCTTTTCTGATCCTCTCCTCAGCTATTCCTGAAGCTCCCTGCTGTGAACATTAAAAATCATCTTGTCATACCCACCCTAAGTTTATTCTCAATCAGACTGCAATGCTCATTTATTAATCCATTTGGCCTTTAATGAACCAACCCTTTCCAAACCAGTGTTTACCCCACTAATGTGTTTATCTAGAATAGTCATGTTTTCACAGACTCTAGCTCAAGCTCTTCTAGTGGTCTCAAATAGTCTGCACATGTCCTGGGCTACTCTAATTGCTCTTCTCTTTACTGTTTGTATTTATTATGGTTCTCTGGGAAAGGCCAGACAATTTATGTTGAAGTTCTTCTTATTTGTTACTCCATTTTTTAAAAAATGTGTCAGTTAAAGAAATAAAAAAATCATTGAAACCATAGTTCTTGTGTCTCTTTCAGTAGTGTTATCTGTGAGGATTTTTTTCCTCTCCTTTTACAGAATTATATAAATGTTTTTGTGCTGCTGTCATAGAGAAGGAATGTTGCAGCTCCGTAGGAACTGTCTGGAGCTGAGGAACTTCACAGCTGGGGATCCATTCAGGCAGTGTTATCTCTCTTGGCCCATCCTCTGGTTTCTATGCAGGCAGACTTGTTTCTTGATGGCAAAGTCTGTGCAACAAAATTCCACTTCCTTCATGCTTGACATCCAGTGGAAGCTTGGCTTACTTAGGCTTACTGGGTTTTCCAATATTGTATGATCCAAATATCTGGGCTTGAAGTCTTCGTAGGAAAGTGCAAATTTTGGAAGGGGTTCAAATTTGGGCCTTCCCGAAAGATGCCCCCGCTACAGGTGTGCTTTTTTTCAACATGTCAGTGATTTTCAGAAGGTTGTTTATTGTGGGGCTTGAATCAAGATAAGGAACTTTCTGGTAGCATGTCTAAGACAGAGTGTCCTGCTCTTGGCTCACATCCCATTTTGGTCTGTGCTTTCTGTCACTTTGCACTGCTGACCTAGGCTGGCTGCTCTTTTTATTTCACTCAGCATTGTGCCTTAGTAGCTGGTGACAACAGTGGGAATGCTGAGTACTGGTGAAGGCATCTGAAGGAGTACTGTTTTTGCAGAATTGATTCATGGGGATGTTCACCTTGAAGTAAGCATGCAGTGCACCCTTCAGGAGGTGTCACTTGTGACAGACCAGCAGAAATGTTTCTGTATGAAGAAAGTAGCAGGATTTATACTGCCATCTATGTCTCTTAGCAGGGACTGCTTATTTTAGCATTGACCCTGACTGCCCTGAAAAGGCACAGTTAGAGATCACTCAGTTAAGAGAAACAGCCCAGACCTTCACTACTGCCCCAGTCATATAGGGTGCTCAGGGTCACTCTTTATGCTTTGGAGAATTAAATATTCTGTTCCACTCTGGTGCATAAGATTTAAATGGGTATAGATGTCTTGTGCTTTTTTCTTTCTTCTGTAAGCATCTGTCTTCTCATATGAGTGATGGTATAAACGGTGACTTGAATTAATGTGTTTTTAACTTATTTTAGGAACAGTTGCATGTGGTTTTTAGGATTCTCACTTGCATGTGACTGTTTTAGCTTTCTCAGCCACGGTTTGATCCACTGCTCACATACTGTTAACCTTTATGAATCTTTTGCATTGTTGAGGCTTTAGATGCTGGTGCAGAGGCAAAGGAACCGTTCAAACGTAAAGTACATGTGAGTCCCTTAGCCAAAGAATAAACTTCAGCAGTTACTGTGCTGAACATTCTCAGTGTTTGATATTCAGCATATGTATGCTGTAAGTTCAGGTAAATCACCATGGCCCAGGATAGGCCTCTGCCAATCTCACTTTGGAAGCCAGAGGGCAATAAAACTGCTCAGTTTTGAATTATGTAAGGTGCTGGTCTGGATTTTCATTTCTGGAGACAAACTGGTGAAAGTGCTCTTTGAAGTGCTCATAATCATAAAGCAAACAAATTTTTTTTTCTTCATTACACTGAAAAAAAATGTTATTCCATTTCAGATACAGAGATTCAATTATCAGAAATTTGTAAATATGTCAGAAAATGTAAAATGTAAATCAGAAGGGATTTTGTTACTTGGATTTGTTTTAATCCAATAGAAGAAAAGCAGGACAATTTGGGGTGTTCTTATCCAGGGCCATTTGGGACTACTACTAAGAAAATGACAGCATCTTACTTAGTTGTCCTGCTTTTTGAAATCCATGCAGTTTGAATCTGGAAGTGTGTTCTGGTTTAGTCACGCTAGGACAAAGTGCTATAAAGCCAGCAGAGCAGGAATGTGTTCCTTCTGTTTTACCTGCAGAATTGCTTAGTCAGTTACAATTGCTTAGAGTTGCAATCAATCAGAGCTGTGTATATAAAGCCATCACAAGTAATGATGCATTAGCAAAACACAACTCTCAATCTGATTTGCTCTGCTTATATGCCACATTATGCTCTGCTTGCATGAGTAGCATTTAATGCAGATAATATCTTTTCAGTTTTATACAGGTTGCAGAGAATATAAAAAGTGTTGAAGACAACAAAGTTGTCTTTGAACATGTTTTTCAATATAGTTTTATACATCCTTCAGAGGAAATCTGGGCATTAAAATAGAATTTGCTAGTGTTATTGATGCACCCTGGAGGAAGAAAGGCAAATCACTCATGCAAATGGAGGAGTATAAATCATAGAAACTCTGCCAAACTTTGGTGTGGTTAGTAAGGAAGCAGTAGTCTGCAATGGTAATAAGTCACTTATCAAACACATAGTGCAATAAGGACAGTATAATTGGTGAGTTCAGTCAGACTGTGCTGATTGTCCCCATTCACATGACAGCTGCCAATTCATTTTATGGACACTGTTACACATGCTGCTCAAGGCTAAAGGTCTTTTGAATTTCTATTGTGTGTTGGTGCCAACTTAAAATGGTAAGATAAAAAGTAAGCAGATAATCACAGTAACTGCCCCTTCTGCAAACCCCAAAGAAGCCATTAATCCATTCTGTCAACCTGCTGTGGCAGGACTGATTTAGTATTCTGAACTTTTGCCTCTGCTTTAGAGTGAGCTCTGCCCTGTGCTTAAGTATTGTCAAGAGAAGGCTTAATTCTGCCAGCTGATTCTGATAATACTCTTGCCAGTATTACTTGTGGTGGAAGTGTGAGATTCTTAGCAAATCCAGTATTTATTAGTTCTGTGTCTTCACCTTGTTCTCCAGTCAATCTACAAACTGCGTTTATGTAAGGCAATATATTGGAACTCTTCCTAAACAGAGACATGTTTTATTGTCACACATTTTTATGGGTTAGGAAAATCAGGACTAATCCACAATCCCCCTGAAAAACCTCAAATAATTTACAGTTTATGTGTCCTTTGTTACTAAATGACAAAAAATCAGTGTTTTTGAGTAATTCAGGGGCTAACAATTTGTGGTCTCACATTGCTATCCCAACTAAATTAATTTAATAAAAATTGCTTACCTGTGAAGACCTGACTGTGTGTTGTGATATCCAGAGCCCTTTCAGTGTTTTGTAGCATATTGGTTATTCTTGGAGAAAAGTTATATTTGAGCTCCTTAAAACAGAGTTGTATTTGAGCTCTTTAAAATGGAGTTGGGTACGACTGTCTTTGGTGGATTTCAAAAATATATTTGACCATTTTCTTCAACAAACTTGGAAAGCTGAAGGATAAGAAGAAACTGAAGAAAGCTGAAGGATAAGGTAAGGTATAAAACAAATATGTGTGCCATATGGGGGAAGACTATTTTAAAGACTTGAAATAACATGTGGTCACCCTGCTCTCCCTCAGTTATCTGTTTAGCAAATGCTAATAAAATTTTAGTGTGGTGGGAAAATATATTTGTTGCAGTGTTAGTAGTCAAGTGGAAGATTCAACAGGTATGTACTTATGCTGAACTTGGGTCAAATAACTTGGAATCCAGTTCTCATGGTAGTCACATATGGTTGGAAAAAGCTATGTCAGCTTTCTTTTGTAGTAGTCACAGTTATAAACTGCCTTAAAATGAAGTGCCTCTTATTGTTTCCATTGTCACATCTGTATGCAGTGTGTCTGCATTGATCAGAATGACAGACAGATCTGCATTTTTAGCTGTAGATGAATGCTCACTATAAAGACAGGTCTGATGGTAGGAGAGGTGCTTTCTGTGAGCTGCTGCTAATGTCTCTTTTGCCTTTGGAAACTAGTCATCTTCACTCTTTTGGTACAAAATCAGCAGGATTAGACCAGATCAGTTGTTTTATCAGCATCAGTTAACCCAGTGATGTGTGATAAAGTCTTAGTGGAGGTATTCTACGTGGTCATCTGCACCACTAGATCTGGAAATCTACTTGTCTCAGGCAAAGAGGTGGTGACAAGCAGCTGAGAGCTCAATTTTGTACCAGAAAATACTGCCTTTGCAGAAGGCCATCTTCCCATTGCCAATTGCAGGAGCTCTGGGTTGATTCACACACCAGCAGGGAAGGTTCTTATTTTGTTTTCTGTGCACGATTTTTACAAACAGGAACAGCAGACTCTATAGCTTAATGAATTGTGAAGCTCGTTCTGAGCTCCTAATGTCATCATCAGGAATAGCTAAGTTTTTCTAGATGTCTTTTAAAAATGAAAGTGCAGTGGAATTAGTTTCAAACCCAGTCACCACTTTTTCTGTCTCCAGTCTTTCTGCCTCGTTTCCTTATTTACCTCACAATGATGCTGCCAGCATTAATTACATAACAGACATTGTGAGTTTTGTAAAGGAGAGATGTGGAAAAGACACAAAGCTTTTAAGCATATCTTTCTATTAGTAAAAGTTACCCGACTGTAGTCTGGGTTATCTGTATTTAACCAGGGATTCTCCTTCAGCCATGGGAGCTGGAGTGTCCCAATCTCCAAGAAAGTCAAAACATATGGAGGGAACAGCAAATGAAATTAAAGTATTTCCTGAGTGCCCATAGTGACTGTCCCTTTAGCTGATAATTCTGAACCTGTTAAACATTGCTAGATTGAAATAGGTTTTGGTCTCTGATGATCCTCCTGTTGTGCAAAAATAGGCTTTGTAAGTCCACCTCCACACATGATTAGTGTTTCTTAAATTGACCAGTGACTACTCCTAGCATTACATAATCAGTGGAAGGATTTTGGTTTTGGATGGACAAATACTTCACTAAAATACTCATGTACCTAATTATAAAAATAACAGTACAGTATTGTACTGATGACTGGGAATGGCAGCTAATTAATGCAAATTGACCTCCCACTTAACATTATCAGCTTTTACTTGGCTGAAAAGCTTCTTATCCACACCAGCATGTGCTTTGTCTCTTTCAAGCAGTTACTGCCAAACCTTTCCTGACAAGAACTGCCATGGCACACAGAGGTGCTGGCTTTTTCCTGTCCCAAATTCCCCCTAACCCTGTGCGGTCAGTAGCTGCCAAGTGCTTCTCATCAGTTCACGCAGGTGGTCTTTGAAGTCTTCTGAAACAAAGTATCTGTCAGTTAAGAACAATAATTTCATGCCCTTTTCCTCCAATATTTGATGTAAAACACTCTCAGGGTAAGATGCTGCTGGGGTTAAAAACAAAGACTCATGATGGCTTACATAGTGTTCTGCAAATAATGAATGTCTAGGGTTTCATCTCAGACTTCATAAGGGATAGGAAGAATTGTTTTTTCTCTCAGAATCTTGTTCTACTATTTGTGTAGTGATAAAATGTTTTAAATCATTCAGCTCTTATTCCATGGGTATGTCTGTTGATCCCTGTGCAGGTGGCAGGCATGACTTTGGCTCAAAAATGCTACTTTTGGATCCCACTGATGATTTTTTTTATTATTTTTCTTTTCCTGTTTTGAACTGTGGAGAATTAGTTGTCTGGCAGAAGATACCAGACACACTAAGTGATCCATCATGCTTTTGTGGGGAATGGCATTTGTGCTAATAGCTCTGTTGGCTTCTGAGGCTACAAGGGGGCCACAAATTGCTTTTATTCTCAGTGCTGAGACATCCTCCATGAGACTGCAACTATCAGCACATACAGCTTTATTTTAAGCTAAAGTGCTTACCTTGATCACTGGTGTAGTCTGATTCTGTTAAACTTCAGCAGAAAAGAGTCACAGCTGCCATAGTGTTTTTAGGTAAGTTTCAAGAATAAAGGGTGAACCAGTGGAGTTCTCTCTTACCTCTGGTCTTCCTCAGAACAGCCATGTCAAAAGTCTTGCTAGAGATAGTGGGATGGAAAGGTTGATGACTGCTTGAATTGATCCCAGTGTCTCAACCGTCAGGTGATCTCAAGTTTGGGAACATGGTGTACCTAGAAATGTGTGTAGGGTAGGGGTGAGAGGAGGAAAATGGCAGGCACAATGATCTTGGGTTGGTTTAAGTTGTCAGGAAGAAGGACAGAAAGAAAATTTCCTTATTTCACATTTCACTGAGTTTTAGATTAAATGTAACACTTTGCAAGAACAGGGAGAAATGTGAGAATCAAAAAGGTGATATCTTAGTTTTTTAATCCCCTTTTGCTTGCACCCTGCAAGAATTCCCAATGATGCTGCCCTTGCAGCTTTTTTACATGATCAATCATACTGATTCTCATTTACTTTTATGTGGCTTAAGGGAATTTAAAATTCTTGCACAGCTCCAATTAATAGTAACTGAGTTTGTGCTTGTGTAATCAAAATTTGTCTCTAAGATGACATTTATTTCTGTAAGGAAGGAGGATAAAGCTAAACTGGAGATTTTATGGGATACTGAGAACTGGCATTTCATGAAGTGCCCATGTTCCTGTGGCTGTTTTTTTCAGCTATAAATTTTTAATGATAGAGTAATTTATGACTTAATAAAATCGAGAGAATAATGAAATCTGAGGAAAACGAAAGCAGCGGTTTATTCCAGTAAGAAAGACTAGCCTGTTAAATGAATCCCTGTTGGGATTCATTTACCTTTAGCACCACTGCATCCAGCAACTTGCTGAGAGCAAACACCTTCCTCCAGCTGCTGTGTAAAGCAAAGTCACAGTCTTGTACAGGAGCCAGATTAATTTGGTTCCTGGAGCTGTGTCATGACATAACGAGATCTTACCAAGCTGGGCTTTTCTGAGGCTTCTCTCTCATAAATCTGCTTTTTGACAGAGAAGTTGTTCTTTATAGTTGCTCTCAGACACTTTAATTCACGTTAGGTAAAGAGGCCATGAACAACACAGCCGAGAAAACTCAATTAGCCCGTAGGCAAGTCAGCAAGATCAGTATTTGTTAGGAGAGTGTGTGTGCTAAGTAAACACTGCTAATCTTCTAAACCTAATCATTGGATTCTTCGTTCAATAGAAAGATTTTTGTGCCTCATAGTGTTGCTGCTGCTTATTGCCAAGGAACCTGCACTGTGCAATTATGATTGTGAGAAGAACAAGTTGCCCTTTTATTTAATTAAGGAAAGGTAGGATACAGGTGAAATGTACCTAGGCAAAGTGTCTGGTGGTTTGGGAAGTCATAATATCATGACTATATTAGGGAAGAAATGTAATAGCTTAGGTGAAGTGACCCACTCTCATTTGCATTTCCCACACTTTATCTGAATCAGTGCAGTCAATATACATTAGGGACAAATCAATGTGTAAGCAGTGCAGGCAGTGTTCTTACTGATAACACTCATTACGGGAGGAATGTTTTGTGTTGCCAGGTGCCAAAGACTGAAGAGACATCATGTGATGTGTGGAATGTCTTTTTAAAACAGAGTGAGGGAAAAAAAATCTATCTCCTTAGACTTTTGTGTAATAAGCTCTATATTAGTTTACAATGGTATGTATTATTAGTACAAAAAATAAATTAAAAAAAATCCTTTTATCAGTAATGCAAAACAAAAAACATACCCTGTTTATACTTGCGGAGAAATTACCTCTTCATACCATGCTAATACATAATTTATATTTTACCTTGGAGACATTTATTTCAAGGCAAGCAAAATAAAACACTAACTTTAAAGGGCAAGAATTTAATCACTAAGCCTAGCTAGGAGTCTCTTGGCAATTTTACCAAGTCAGAAAAATATCTACGGTTGAAAAAGTAATTATTTGCTTAATGATTCTTTTTGGTATAATAAAAAATAAACACCTGAAGTATTACTGTGCTAATCTAAGTAGTTCACCTAGAGATCCAAAATTTTGTGTATTTCATAAGAAAGGCTACTCTACCAGGCCTTGCTTCAAAGGGTCTATATTGTAAATGGGTAGGAGATGTTTCCAGATGACAGCCCTTTTTAAAGCTTTATTATTTGTACATTGTCACACAATGTTTCTTGTTTCTTCAAAAGCTGTATACCAAAACCTGCATATTGCTAAAATCCCTTATTTTCCTCAGTGAGAAGAGGGATGTCCCAGATTAATTTCCAAGCAGGAGGTGATGGTAACTTCTCAGGGTTCCTCCCCTTGCTCAGCTTGAGGACATAGAACTGTTGGGATATTAATAGGCCCTGCAGGGATTCCATCATTTCAGCCTTAGCAGTTCCTGTGGGAGCTCTCTTGCTCCCATGGCTGGGGTTTGTTCAGTAGCCTGGTTAATGACATGGCTGTGACATGGGAGCTGTACCCAAACTCTGTCCAAGTCATCTGTGACTCAGGGTGCAGCTGGGCTACTCCATCATTGAATTGGTCTCTATAAAGATAGGTGTTGCAGAGTTACGAAGAGTAAAAAAGTCCCTTTACAAAAAAGAGTTTAAATACAGTGCTTATTTCTTTCCATACTAACAAGGGTGTTTTAAAGTAAACTTCAACTGCCAGATCAATTTTACTCACACATTCTGATATGAAATACAGAAGTCATGCACTTAATTGTAAAATCTATGCTGTGATGTTATGGGACTCACTGCAATCAACATGAGGTGTGATATCTCACAAATTGCTGTGCCAGCATAACTCATGCTTCAGCTGAGCTGAACAAAAGATCTACTTTTAATGTGTGATGCTACAAAAATAACAGGACTTAAAGTGTTGAATTCAGGCAAGAATTTGTATATTGTTGCATTTATAACAAACTGGGACTCTGATTCAAAGTTCACATCTGTGTTAATAATGAGAAGCCTTTATAGAAATGTCATACTTGCAGACTAGCAATCTCTGAAAGTTGGTTCCATGGATAATTCTAGTTGATTTTCTATTTATTTTTACTGTTAGAACTGATGTATACCTACCAGTGCTGTACATAGGCAGAATACATCTTATTTATTCAATTCACATTCTGTTACAGCTGTATTATTGTAACATAATGTGAATTGAAAAGAAATACTAAGAAGTATTTTCAATTTCCATTTTTTTTGTGTTAGTGTGACTTGCTACATTTTTCACTGCAATAATTGGACATATTGCTGATGCACATACATGTAAATAAGGACAGTCAATCTGCTTTGAGCTCTGGCATGGCAGAACTACTTAACTATCATTGTATATCAATTTTCATTTTAACATCTAAACTTAAGACAGCAATAAAATAAGGATGAATGTGCATTTTCATGACTGCTGTGGTTTAGAGGTTTCTGAGCTCAGGTTGGAACAGCCAGCAAAGTTTTGCATTTTTAAGGGTAGATGGTAGTTCTGAATATTTGTTATATTTTTAAAACTCTTACTGTTTAATCAAGCCTGAAGCCACCCAGAATGGAAGGCCAAAGAGAAAGAGGAAAGGTAGAGCTTTTTCTGGAAAGTAAGATAACAGCAGTTTTTAAAATTTGGTACTGTTTTCACTGGAGTTCTATTAGACTTTTGGTGGAGTCTGCCAGTATCACACAAGAAACAGTTTCTCAGTATTATATCATCTGCCCCTTTATGATCAGACCATAGAGCATATGGAGGTCATGTACTGAAAAGAAATCAAGGCTCATGGTGGAGGGATTTATGCTCCCAGTTTGGAAAGGCCCAGAACAAATCCAGGGAGTTGTGCAGATGAACACCATCCCATTTCCCTAGCAATGAGTGCACTGTGGGCTCTCTTCAAACACTTTTTGATAAAATAGTCATAAATCAAGTTTCACATGAGAGGAATATCCTTATGGACACTCTGGCTTCTGTGCAGTAGTTCTGCAGCTTCCCTCATGATGGCAGAGCATTAAGTGGAGAGATGCACTTGTTCAGTGATAATAATAAGAGACACATTGGAAACTGTGTGACCTTCATGAGGGTCTCCCACTTAGTGCCACTTTCCTACTCTCTGACACAAGATAGGGGCCTCTAAAGATCTGTTTCTTTTCTCAAGTGTGGTTTTGGTCTGGAAGGGATGCAGCATGGGGAGCCTCATGACCTTCACCTTCTTTTCTAGATCAGGCCACAGAACATTTTTCTTCTCTTTCCTGTTACTTTCCCATGTATCCTGTAAATTATTAAGAGAGTCAGATGTACCACTCTTGCCAATTTTAGCAGAAAGGAAATTACATCTAGAGAATAAATTGTTTCAAATGTGTAAATTGACTTTCTCTACAGCCTTTTATTCTTGCAAAGGGAGGCAGTCACTTACTTGTCTAACCTTAAATCCTGCTTGGTCAGGAATCTGCAGGTCTGGGAACCACCATGGGTCAAGGAGCTGGGAGACAGCCAGAGGAATGTAAATACTTTGTGGCATGATAAACAGCAAAACTGTATTAAAACCCACAAGGCAAAAAAACTCCAAAACAAAACAAACAAAAAAGCCCCAAAAAAACCAATTTTCATTCATTGTATGCGGTCACTAAACCTACTGGAAACCTTATTGGTGTGGCTTATCCATGGAAGGACAGCTGCCAGTGCTCTAGCCTGATGTGTATGTGTATAACTAAGGCTCTTGGCAGTGGCTGAAAGGTGTTTTTCAACACCTTTCCCAATTTTTGTGGTCTTGTTTGATGTGAACCTGAGGACCCATTACACCTATAGAAGCAAGGAGGCAACTACTTTTCTCCAGTACCTTTGACTGGAGGTCATGTGTGTGTGACACCCTGCCAGTGCACTCAGCAAAGCACATCTGCAGCCAGTCAGTGACTGATTCCAGTGTGCAAAACTGCACAAGGATAGATAGTGCTCATCCTTCAGGCAAAGGCATTGTTGGCCCATGAAAGTGTAAAGAGTTATTGCAAATACCTTGTAATTCTTTTCCCACAAAAGACAGTAATGGCTCAAAGGAGCCCTCACAGGCTATAAGGTAAATAAACTGAGTGTTAATAGCTCCCAAGTAGGTCTGCTTAGCACCACTCAGAGTGTATTTTTCAGGAAAGGTTCCATGTGGCTGTCACCATTTCATAGTTCCTGATGGCAGGAAGAATATTTGCTCTGAAAGACCTTGGACTACTAATGTGGAAGACTTTTTGTGTGTGTTTCACTTTTTGTTTAAAAGGATATATTCTTTCCTTCAGTTTAAAGGTCTTTTAAAGACCAAGAAAATAGGGAAAGAAAATGCTTAAACTAGGAAAAATGAAAATGTTTTTAGAGACCCAGCATATTTCAGGTTAAGATGTGAGTGCATAATAACAGAGAAAGCATTTTAATGATCTGTTGGTCAAATATTCAGAGTCCAAGGTTATGTACTTTTCAGCGTGTATGAGGACAGAATTTGACCTACTCCTGTAAAATCTCCTTCCTCCTTATATAGGTGATACAAGGGCACAGTCACAGCAGGCCCTGGTTGCTTCCTGTTAAGGAAGAAAATCCCTAGAAAGGTGCTGTGACCTCTTCCTCAGCCTGTGTACCTGGATAACCCATTCTGGTGAGCAAATGTCATGAGGAATGCACCTCACAGCCCTGTAAAGTTAACTGTGAAAATCATCACAGAATTATTCTCAGGTTTCTAATATTCTTATCAATGCTGATATAAGAGGTTGTTTGTTTTCTCTTTTTGATGAATTTACATCTATGCTTCAAACTACCTTAATCTAAAATCCTGGTAGTTGATCAAGTGTTTTGCTGGTGCCATCAAGTGGCAAAATGTTGGATTGCAGAAGTCCCACAGCATCCAAATTGACTCAAGTACCTCTTGAACAGCACCAATGAGGAAAACAGTCCCTGACAAGTCTCCTCCAAAAATACATATGTATAAATATGTATGAGAAAAATGGACTGAAATACATATGGTGTCATGATTACTTCAGTTACTTCAGTTTGATCTGGATTCTAACAAGCAGAAAGGCTAATATTTTTTTTTTAGTATTACTAGTTGATAAATATAAACAACCTATAAAGCAAAATCAGAGATCCTTGTTGAAGAGCTACTTGAACTGAAGCAGCACAATGCTGTATTCTGAATTTCTGTGTTTGCTGTCCTTTGTTACTAGCTATTCCCTTTTTACAGAACATGGCCCTTTGATTTCATATCATAGTTGCACTTCATATCATCAGAGTAGAGTGAATATTCAATTTGCTGCTGTATTCTCTAACTTCACAGTCTGGTTAACTGAAAATTTAAACTTAAAGTTCATCATTCATACACACATCACTTTTTCTTTTTTTGCCACCTGAGTGACATCATAATATTGTTCAGTAGGAAGGCCTCTGTGCAGAAGAAACACATAAATTTATAAAGCTTATGCTCTATTTCCTTATAAAAATCCAAATAAATTGGTATGGTTTTGTCTTGATTTCTCAGGGGACTGCTAATATCAAAACTCATAGATGCTGCCAGTGTAGAAATTATCCTGTGTTTCAAAATCTAAATCATGCAGGGCTGATTTTGAGAAGCACCCATGCCTGACTTTAAGTTCCTGAGAATGCTGAGCATTTCCCCTTGTGAAAGCCTGGCTCTCACACTTCCTTACACTTCCAACAGGAGCTATGGGAATGCCTCATATAAGTAAAGGCTCCAACTTTTTACCCTAAAATGAGTTATTTCTACACTCTGGGGACCGTTTTCAGCTCCTTCTGCCAAGGTGCTCACAGAATCCAGTGAAACTGCGTGGTGGTTTTCACTGACAAGAATCTGAAAACAGCTCCACAGCAAAAACCAAAACCAACAACAGAGAGCAAATGAGAGTGTGAAAATTATGGCAGTGCAGGTGGAAAGATCAGCCATAATCAGTAAGATTTTCCTGGGATTAGAAAAAGCCTTACATTTTAATTAATTCTCACTGTGGATACTTCATGAAATTTTATTCACAAATTCTATTATAAGCATATTTAGGCTTCTTATACTTTCCCCACTGAAATTTGTGCCAGTACTATCAGAGGCACAAATGCTAAAATATTTCATTTGAATCTTGCCCACTTCAGCTTTTTACTCTGTAATTATTAGCACTAGACCAGGCTTTTAATTAATCTCTAGCCTGGTACATTTGGAGATCAGTGAAACTGATGCTATTTGGGTTATTGTGGCTCTGTTGCTTGCCTGTTTTCTGTGTTTTACAGAAACTTAGCATGGAGGAAAGGCTACACTCCTTGGCCCCTGAGTAGCACCTTCAGGATTGTGGGTATGCTTTGAGCAACTCTCCTGCAGTAACATTTTACTGTGAGAGCTGTCCAGAACCAACAGCAAATGGATGTCATTAACATAGGTGCATGAAGTAGCTTGCTAACCTCTTCTTCCTTTCTGACTGCTACATTGGTTTTCTGAGATGGGACATGTAGTTGCTATGACTCATCTACTTTCTCATGAGATATTATGCCTGAGTTGGCCAAAATCTCTCCTGACTTGCAGTGTGAGTGTAGGAATGTAGAGACATAGACTACATGCAACTTAGGCAATTTCTACCTTGTGTAATAGGAAAGGTTTGTTTCTAGACCTCTTCTTTTCTCCAGAATGGGATTCACTTTGATTGGTTAGGGGCTCTACGCTAGTGTGCCTTGAACATCTAATAATCCAAGGGATTGCATATTCAGAAAAGACAAACACAAGAGCAATGAAAATTCTTGTTTCAAGCTCATTAGGCATTCTTGCATCTGTCCTATCACTGTGGCATCCCAGCACCTTGCCATGGTTCTGGGATGGAAGTCCCATCAGCATCATTTAACAAAGGCAAGTGCTGGACTGTCCCCTGGGACGGGGTAACCCTGGTTATATGTACAGATTGGGTGATGAGAGGCTGGAGAGCAGCCCTGGGGAAAGAGATCTGGTGTTTGTGTTGATGGCAGGCTGTAGATGAGTCCAACAGTGTGCTCTGGCAGCCAAAAGGGCCAGCTGTACCCTGGGGTGCATCAGCAGAGTGCAGTGAGCCAAGTGACTGGGAGGTGACTGGGAGGTGACTGGAAGGTGATTGTCCTGTTCTGCTCTGCGCTGGTGCAGCCTCACCTCGAGCACTCTGAGCTGATTTGGGTGCCTTAGTGGAAGAAGCACATCAAACTGCTAGAGTGTGTCCGGAGGAGGGGACCATGGTGATGAAAGGTCTCAAGGGCAAGATGTTCAAGGAGCAGCTGAGGTGACTCGGTTTGTTCAGCTGGGAGAAGAGAAGGCAGAGGGGTGACCTCCACAAAGTCTACACCTTCCTCAAGGGAGGCAGTGGAGGGAGAGGTGCTGATCTCCTCTCTCTGGTGGCCAGAAATGATAGGATGTGAGAGAATGGCATGAAGGTCCATCAGGGAAAGTTCAGGATGGATATTTGGGAAAGGTTCTCCACTGTGTGGGTGACCAGTCAATGGAACAGAGACCCCAGGGGAGTGATCATTGCACCAAGTCTGTCAGAGTTCAAGGAGCATCTGGACAATGTTCTTGGTCATGGTTTAGTGTTAGATAGTCATGTGAGGAGCAGGGAGTTGGACTTGGTGATCTGTATGGGTCCCTTCCAAATTGAGATATTCTGTGATCATTTCACGTAACAGTTAGCTCATGATAACAAAGAGGAGAACAAGGACAGGAAGGGAAGTTTCCAGTCTATGAGTCATGTTTTAACTCTTTGACATTCTGGTCTGCATCTTCCATTCCTGTTGTCCAGGAAAGGCTGCAGGACTGAAGGCTATCTTTGGACTTTTCTGAGTCAGCCTTAAGCAGCGTGCTCTGCTTTCAAAGCTTTCCTGTAAGTCAGTAACGGTGATCTGAATCCTGAATCCCCTATCTTTCAGTTAGCCAGTTTTTTGTTTAGTGGGTTTTGTTGTTGTTTTTTTTTTTTTTTTATGCTGTCATGAAGAAAAATAATTCTTGGAACTGGTTTGAACTGGTTTGAACTGGTTTGAGTGGAAGTGGCACCAACTTCAGTATATTTTAAAGAACAAATTGGCTGTGGTTAGAGGCTAGGAAAAGGAGCCCTAATTCCAAAAGCATTCCCCAACAGCTCCTCAGCTGTTGTTCCTAGACATGTCTCTTCTTTTACAACAGCTTTCTGAAAAAGCTGAGCACTGACTTTTCATGTTTATGACTATGGTATTTGGGGATGCGGTAAATTAGGCCAAAAGTGAAATCTTTAAGTTCAGGAAGGATGTTTGCGACAACAGCCAACAGTAAACAGTTATCAAATGATGGGCAAAAAATAAATACAGAAATTTGGAACTTCAAGTGTTTCAGCTAAATATTGTGTAGAGATTTGTGAGTACTAATATATTTCCACATTAATATTTAGGGCATTGTGAAAAAAATAAAAGCTTAAAGTCCCCATGCAGATATTTGTACATCTCAGTCTAAATTGCCATCTGACAATTTTGCTGCCTGGTGCTTCTCTGGTGAAAGCACTTCACTTAAACATTTTGACTGTGAGAAGTATATGTCTAGCCTACACTGGCTGAGGGTCTTCTCCACTACCATAAGGTGTACATCCATTAACAAATGTATATGGAGATCCTTTTCCCTTGCTCAGTTGTCTTCTGGCAGTACACCTAGAGCAAGTCCTCCATGCTTCTTCTGTGCTCTTCAGGGGAGCTTGCAGCAGTGGAGGAATTTCCTGAGCTCTTTATAGCTGAAAGAAAAAAAAACTCCAAAACCAAAATGTCTTTTGATAGCAGCAGCAGTGATGGTCACGTGAAGTCTTTTAAACAATGACAACTTGGCTCTGTTTTCATGACTGTGACTTGCTCAGCTTATTCTGGCTAATGCCATCAGGGTGAACCGTCACTAGGAGAAGTTAGTACAACAGCAACTGGCAATTGTTTAATGAAGGTTGGGTCAAGTCAATGATGTTTTGATCAGTGAGGGGAAGAAACAAGGCGATAGATGTGTGCAGCACGTGCATCTTGCAGTGTTATTGAGTATCAGCTGCCACCACATACATACCTGCACTCTCAGTAGCATATGGACAGCAAATAGCACAGATGGAAGCTTTAGCATCTAATTCCCACTGATTTCAGAATTTGTTATTTATCCCTTTGAAAACTTCCCCTCTCCATCTCTAGAGAGCGGTGAGGAATGTTACTGTTTAGTAGCTGTAGTTCAGACTGAAGGAATGCTGTGTTAGGCACTCACATGGATGTGCTAGAGGCTGAGGATACTCTGTACATTTCCATATATTGGTGACATTTGACATTGAGCAGTTTGATGTGTATGATGAACCAAAATAAGAATCTGATGTGCTATAGAGTATCAGAAAACGTTTCTGTTTCTCAATTTCTGAAGGAACTCAAGCATTCACTTACAAGTTCTGTCTAAAATTTTGCCCCCAGTCTGAAAGTAGTCAGGTAGATGCCAAGTCACCTGTGTGGCTGTGATGTTTGTATTCATTAGGCCAGTTCTCACTGGAAACATTAATAAACCTTCCTGTTGGCTGCTCTCTATAGGCTGCCAAGCTGCAGAACAACCACTTTACCTTAGACATAAAAGAGAAGCATTGCATACAAAGGTCTGATCATCTATTCTGTTCAAATAGGACTGTGTTAAACTTAAAATATTTACAAGTCTCCTTCTCCCAAAGAAACATTTATAGCCGATGTTAATCCAGTGACATTTGAGATCTCAAAACACATTAAAAAATGTCTCAGCCCAGAGATTTTCAAAAAAGGGCTAAGGTGAACATATTTTTAAAGTGTCTATCATGAACAATCCTTAAGAGCCTCAGCACTACACACAAAGATTTAATAGACACTATTAGGGTTTCTAACTTCCACAATAGTAGATTTATTCTGAATTCTGACAGACAACTTCCAGATTTCTGGCTCTTTTCTTTTGAGAAAAACCCACACCAGCAAAAATATAATGTTATGGGATCAGAATATTAGTTTGCTTCTTTATTATTAAAAAGTTGCATTTTTTCCTTCAGGTTTGTTTCGTATGTCATGTGGATCTCAAACCAGAGTGTAAGAATACAGTGTCTTAAATTATGAGTTTGTGAAGGCCTCCAGTCATTGTTTTGATCAGTGCATGAAGCCAACACATCTGAGGGTATGTGCTACCAACAGCTTCCAGCAGGTCTTGGAAGGAGAATTCTTATTCATACTGGCATTTTAATTCAGAACTCTGCTTTTGACATGAATCTCCCAAAGGTCTCTTTTTTGCAGTACCTTGGTCTTGGAGTACGTGAACTGGGTTCCTTATGGATGTAATTATCTGAAAGCTGTGTTCCAGAAATATACCAGGAGGGTACCACAGCCACAAATAGACCATTAATCCAAAGTAAAGAGCATCTGAAATATATTTTTTTGGCACCTCAGATCCTCAGCACTCGCTGTTTCACTCTACGCATCTTCTCCTGTAGTCCACAATACATGCCAGTGACATAGTCACTGAGCAACATACAGATTTGGAATTAATTGAATTTTTTTTTGGCTTGGGATGGTCTGAATTTGTTTTTATTAAGTGTTTCCCAATAAACATGTAAATAACTATACACATAATCTTAGTATATCAATTCTGAATTTGACTATCTAATGATAGGGTAAAATACACAGGATACCTTCTTTGTACATATATAGAACCTAGCATTATTCAAATACATATGCATGCTTCTGGTTATTCAGGGGCACAGTCTAGCTATGCAAATATTGGTAGCAAATGCTCCAGTCCAAGAAAATAATGTAATAAAATTAATGGATTAATTATTTTTAAAGCTGAGAACAACTGTTCTATTTATTTATTTATTTATCTGGATTTATGTGACTAGGAAAAAATGTAACATTTTAAAAACATATGATATTGTAAAACATGCAGCTGCCTTCTTTCCATGTATGGTTTGGGGAGTTCATGTGGTGTGTTTACAGTAGCAGAAAAATGTAGCTTATGACCTGTGTTACAATACAGATTTTCATGGTCACAGAGAAAAGAACATTGCAACCTTGCTATGTGTATTTAATGTTTGTGTTTCAGAATTGAGTCCAACATAGTTGTCATCTGAAAGGTGCCTTGCTGTTGCATTGCTTAATTTTTCCTTTTTCTGGATATCCTGTGTAACTAACATGATTCTTTCCTGGATATTCATTAAAACATAAATCAGGTCTATAATTCAGTAAACTTCCAAGCCTATTAATAGTTAAAAGAGTGCAGATGGAAATTCACCAAAATCCTGCAATGCAAGGAATACCACAAAAACTTGCCTCAGGGCAGATATGTAAGTGGGAGGCATCAATACACAGTTTGACAGGCATGATAATTCAATAATATCAAAGTATTCTGTCTGAAATTCAGATGTTGGATAGGAGACATTACAAATAATGAAAGAATTTATCAAGTGTAGTAAACCTGAAGCCTGCCAGAAAGATGGAAACTAGGACCTAATTTTGCTAATAATAGAGACAAAATCTCATATGAAAGAACACTGGAGGACTTGAGGTCCACTCTGGAATGCATTATGTATGGAAAAAATACAAATTTAGGTTAAAAAAAAAGTCATGAGTGCCAAGCAGCATGGAAGTTCAGCTTTACAGACCTTTAAAAATTGCAGGAATTCTGCCATATCCTGCCCCCCAGCTATTAGTATAATTGAGCCTGTAAAAGACAGTAAAAACACATTGATTCCTGAAACTTCTTGATTACATACTGATGATTATGAAAGCTAAATGCAAGCTTCATTTAATTTTAAATTTTAATTTAAAAGTTTATTTTAGTAATTCTAGGTCAAACTGTAATCTAGGAAAAAAAAAGAGGTTTAAAACAGGAGTAGATACCGTGATAAATGTTGGTGATTTTATGTGAAATATGCCCATCTTTTCCAAATTAGAAATAAATGCAATATATGTGTTCATTTTATTCTTTATAAAAATTATTTCAGGAGATTTTGAATGCTAAAGCCACTGTGTAATTTATTTTAGCAGTCCTCTTTTCAGCTGTAATGAACATATTTCCTGGGGGACTGACAGACTATTGCGCAAAGTAGAAGATACTCTGTTTCATTAAAGAAAAAAAAAAAAAGTGTCTCATCAGAAAAAAACATAACCACAAGAAAATGCTTTCAGTAACAGTAAATTGATATCAAATACTTCTAATGGAATAATTTTCCTTTACCAGTTCTGCTCTTACCTGTCTTTTGAGACAGTCGGACAGCAAGGAATTTGAAATGGAGTTAGTACTACATTCAAATTGAAGGTTCTTGATAGGACTTCAGGTTCCTCATTTGCTTGGCAGTGTTGGGGCAGGTTATGCAGTAGCAGGTTATCATGTTTCATATTTCAACTTTTAGGGGAAGATGCAGAATAAAATACCAGATACCAGAGAATTTGTTACTGCATCTGAATACAAAGGAGAAAACAGATGAATTCTGCCTAATTCTGACAAGTGTCTACAGGAAACAGTGGTTGCTTTTACTACTGCTACTGGTTATTTTTACCAGGTGACAAAATAAAAAAAACATAAAAACAAAATTAAAAGAAGCAGATTAAAGGGGTGTGATACTATTGCTTTGTATTACTGCTGAACAGAAGCTGGAAATAAGCTTTCAAGTAAGAGCGGAAAGTTTGGACTTGCACAGAAAAGGACTTCTGCACAGAAAGTCTCCTTGGTGAATTCAGTTTCACTGTGAAGCTCCAGTCCCACTCTGAAAAGGACTTTAAACCCATGATACTTTTAATAGAAAATACCTTTTTCCTTAACTGCCATGGTTTTTCTCTCTACATCCGTGCTTAGGGGAAATGATTCAGTCCTCCTTTCACTTGAACAAATTTGTATTTCAACGGTGGTTGATCAGCTGTTTGTGAGGAGAGGAGCTGTACTAGGTCAGTGTAAACCACTGAGCTCTCTAGAACTTCATGCAGGCATTTATATCTAAATAAGTTGCCTCTGCTTTGAGCTGCTCTCTTGTGCAAGACAAAAGCACCAGGACTTTTACTTTCTATCAGATGAAGCTTTGGTTCAAAGACACAGAGTCTGCTCAAAAAGCCATCATCAGATTCTTAGACAAAGTAGACAAAGAAGCACTACTGCTTCCTTTCCCATCCACCAAGAGCCAGCAGAGCACTCCCTTGTATCTCTGCCTGCTTCTTCTGGGACAGTCCTGGGGAAGCCCTCAGGAACCTTTGTTCCATGACAAGCACAGTGTGTAATAATGGCTAGATAAGTTCACAAAGGGAAACACTGAATTCACTCTGCTTGCCACACACTGTGACAAGACTCCTTTTGACTAAAAAACAATGGCTCCTCAGGTGAAGAAGACTGAGAGGCCTTTGTTTTGCATCCTTACATTTGAGTTGTGCTTTTAAGGCTTTTGTGTTGCTATGTACTTAGTGATCTGCTAGCTTTTGGATATGGACCTTACAATGGGAAGAAGAGTCTAAGAAGAGTCTCAAGGAGAAAGGAGCAATTTATATTCATCTGACTGGTACATTTGCTGTTCTGACTTTGGCAAAGTTTTGACAAAAAGGATATTTTAAACAAGTCCCCTTCTTCTCTGGCATATGTTAGTAAAATGCAAAAGGTTTTGCTTTGCCTTATTAAAATAGGGAACTAATTTGAAAATATTTGAAACATGTTATTCTTCTAGGATGTCTGGGAGTTCAGCCATATATTTTTGAAGAAAATAAGTTGATATAGCATATTCAAGTGAAAAAACCTAAACTAATTCTATCATGCTGGAAGTTTATAGAGTACTGGGTAGGTCTGCTATGGTATCTATATGAACACTGTGGGAATCTTACACTGATGACTCACATTAAAGTACAATTGGCTTGTAATGAGAAAAATGTTCTGAGTTGTTGATCCATAATCTGCAAGTGGGCAAGAAACAAAAATCAGACTTTCCTTCTATCAGAACTGCTGTGGTTCTGCTAGAAATTTCTCTGCAATGCACTTCTGAGTCCACATTGTTCCGACCCCAGTGGAATTTCCTTTCTATCCAGCTTTATTAGCCTGGCTCAGAAATTTATTTCCGGCTGCCAGAATTACAGGTGGAGCCTGTGACAGTAGATTTTTTGCCCCTGCCTATTGCACATATAGGGAGCTCCCACATTTCATGGGTTCTCTTTGCAATTCCATGACAGCAGCTGCCCACTGAGGCAGGGATCTATGCCATCAATATTATTTCATCAGTCTCCTAGCATTCAGCTATCATCCATAGCACCGGATCATGATTGACTGCACTCAGCTTCAAATCCACGCCATACATGCAGACTTAAACCTATCTGCAGTCTTAACCAGCACACCAGCACCAGGACCACTGATTCACAATAATCCACCTTCCCTCATCAAAAGGGTTCTGAACATATGTGTCCTATGTCTGCAGCTGCACTAGTCCAAACCCACCATTCAAATCCTAAAACTTGCCTTCAGCTCTAGAAAATTAGTTCCTTGCACAGCACTTCTAGGTGGCTGGCTTGGGGACCTCAAGCTTGTAGTCACTGGCACCTCCCATTAGGAGCAGGATGCAGACCAAGGGTCAGGACATCCCTAGGAACAGTGCTCTCTGAACACAGTCACAGAGGAGCCCACACTGTCTGTGTAGCTATGTTCCCTGGCAAACTGGCCCAGTTCCTTGGCAGAAGAATCCAAGGAGATTTTAGCTCAGTGACCAAAGTCACAAGTCCTTATTGATCCAGGGGAAATCACCCGCAAAGGAAATCAGTAGTTTCCAGGATGATATCTCTCTAAAGCAGGAGCCACCATCATACACATTTCAGCCCCAGAACTTTCAGAAATCCATTATCAAGACAACGAATTATCTCACTGGGAGGCTTTGCTGAGGAAAAGCTCCCAGTGGGAGGAAGTAAGAAGGTGTAGGAAAATTATACATTATTATTTTGGAAATGATACCTAAGTAAAAGTTGATTTTTAAATGTAACAAATATTGTGCTTACAGAACCTAAAGAAATATTATTCCTACATAGGAGACAATATCTGGAGATCAGCCCCTCTCTTCTCAACCATTATTGTCTGTCTCTTTGGAAGAAAAGTGTTAATAAGCAGCTGTGTAGGGCTGAACTCTGAACTAAGCTTAACTTCTTATTCAGTGCACCATAACTATGCTTTGGTCTGTGTTCTGGTAGTATTTGACATCACAGCAAGAGGGTGTTGGGGAGCAGCACATAAGATGAGGCAGCTGGTGATGCCACCAGGGGTTTAACTGTTCAATGGGGTGGAAGGATATTAGAGCACACCTGGGAGCTGGGATCCAAGACACACATAGGCCATGTGCAGTTTTACCTCTCCTGAATAAAGCAATAAATACAGCCACAAACCAAGACAGTTTGTTACAGAAAATTTGATTGAGAAGAATTGAGTGAAGTTATGTGGATGTCGGTTCAATTCTTGAGAAATTCGCTGAGCCTAGTGGATTTCAAGTAAGGCAGGCAGCACAGCAGCAAGACTTCCATGAAGTGCCAATTTTTATTCCTATTCTCAGAGATACCAATATTCTTTGCTAAGATCTTGTGGGATGTTCACATCATCCTTCAAAACAGTTGGAGCTGGCCACCACTGGTGGAGTTTGGATTCTGGTTAAGTTGGCTTGCTGGATGTTTTTGCCTTCCTGTGTTTGACAGACATGGCGATAGATTTTGATCTGTTTTACTTTCTTCTGCTGACCTTCTCTTTTCTCTCAATATGTTTTTTGTTTGGCTTGAATTGGCATCAAAATAAATGGATGCATTTGAAAAGAGTGTTTTTTTCTGTTGTTTTGGTTTTTTTTTTTTTTTTTTTTTTCCCCACCAGTGAGAGCAAAACTAGCTGGAGGTCTTACTTTTCTTGGAAAAGCAGTGTGAAAAAAGCTGGAAGCATGTCTTTTGGCAGGTGACAGTACATAAATAGTTTTTCTGAATACCTATCAAATGCACTATTTTGTTATTAATAACCAGTTGAGCCAGTAATTGGTTTATTATGATTTTGAACCACTGATTTGTTTTTAACCTGGATGGCTTGTCCATCATATTAAAGTGAACTAAGCTTTAATGCTGGTGCCATGTGCCAGTGATACAGCTGTATCAGTGATTTCCAGAGTTCACACGTTTAATATATTCTGAAAAAAAATTATTTCAATATGTCTTTTTCATGATCCATCTTTCTCTAGAGCTGAATGTTTGGAAAGGCTCAGCAGAATATTTTCCTTTATTTCATTAATTACTCAACTGTTAAAAATTGTCTGTAATTTCCTTCCAGAAATATACTATGAAAGAATTAGAATTGTGGTTTTAGGATACAATGGGAATAAGCTATCTCAGTTGTTATTATAGAGGGTGTTGCTGACTGGAATAAAAAGGCTTAGGACATCAGTTCTACACTCTGAATCTTCACACAAAAAGGTCACCCCCCACATGTAAATCTATCAGTACCTTAGTTGTGTGTTTCACTGCCACCTGTATCTCCACATGACTGAATTTCTTTGGACAAAAAACTATTTGGGAGAATGAAGGTCCTTGATACATCTCTGTATAGCTCCCTTACCAGGCTGCCGTGGATGTCTTGTGCTGATGGAGCAATAGTGTCAGGGAAAGATGGACATCAAAAAATCACAGAATGCTTGAGGTGGGAGGGGACTTCTGATGGTCACCTGGTGCAACCCCTACCCAGGCAAGGCCACCTAAATCAGGCTGCCTATGACCATGTTTCCAAGGAGATATCACACCCTCTCTGGGCTCAGTCACCCTCACAGGCTAAGTGCTTCCTTATGTTCAGATGGACCATCCTGGGTTTCAGTTGGTGCCCATCACCTCTGGTCTTCTTACCGGGCATAAATGAAAAGAGCCTGGCTCCATCTTCTTTTGCAACCTCCTTTCAGGTGTTTGTACACATTGATGAGATTCTCCCTAAGGCTTTTCTTCTCCAGGCTGCCTTTCATCATACGAGAAATGTTCTAGACCCTTCATTAGCTTAATGGCCTTTCATGAGACTTGCTCCAGTACCACCATCTTCTTTGTTCTGGGGAGTTCTGAACTGGACACCGTACTCCAGATGTGGTCCCACCAGCGCTGAGTAGAGTGGAAGGACCACTTTCCTCAAACTGCTGTCCACTCCTCATGCAGCCCCAGATACCGTTTGCTTTCCTTCTAGTAAAGGCAGTTTGTTGGCTCCTGTCCAACTTGGTGTCCACCAGCACCCCTAGTCCATCCTGCAAAGCTGCTTTCCAGCTGGCCAGCTGCAGCTGGTCCTCCTCGCAGCATGGGGCTGTTCCTTTTTACATGCAAGACTTTACATTTGCCTTTGTTGAACCGCATGAGTTGTTGAATTGCATGTTGGTCCATTT